CTCTATCTAAATATAATAATTTCTTTCTTCTGTTATAGCCTCTCTTAATGCCGTTTCTTCCATCCACTGATATGATATACAGAGAGAACACGTCGACGATGGGTATTCTATAGAAGTCGACACATCGTCGTGGATTATTTTGGATGGTGGAATCGATCACTATTTTTTCTTTTTCTTAGTGCTGACGAGGCATAGTTGATTCGAATACTTCTCTATATATACTACCAAGGTCATTTACATGTACATATATTCTTTTAAATTTATTTCTTTCAGATCACTGTATTGATTTTTATTAGCAAATAAAGAAGAAAAAAAAAACCAAAATGTTTCCAGGATTTATACAAGCAACTATTTTAGCTGTTATAGTTATTCTTACACAAACAACAAAACGTATTCATTGTGATGATACATCAAATGTTGATGAAAGTCATGTTCTTGTACTTACAAAAGATACATTTGATGATGCTGTCAAAAATAATAAACATTTACTTGTTAAATTTGTTGCACCATGGTGTGGTCATTGTAAAGCTTTAGCACCAGCTTATGCTGCTGCTGCTAAACAATTAGCTGAATCTGATAGTGAAATTAAATTAGGCAGTGTTGATGCAACAATTGAACAAGAGCTTGGACAAAAATATGAAGTTAAAGGTTATCCAACAATAAAATTTTTTAGTGATGGTACTACATTTGAATATACTGGTGGACGTGGACAAGATGATATTATTAGTTGGTTAAAAAAGAAAACTGGACCAGCAGCTGATGAATTAAAAACTGTTGATGATCTTAATAAATTAAAACAAGCTAGTGATGTTGTTGTTATTGGTGCTTTTAAGGTTAATTATTTTATTTTATTTTATTATTTTATATTAATATATTTATATTTAACTAGGATATGGATGGTGATACTGCTGCATCATTTCTTCAAGTAGCTAAAACACTTGATGGTATTCCATTTGGTATAACATCAAATGCTGATGTTCTTAAAGAACTCAATGTTAAACAAGATACAGTTGTTCTCTTGAAAAAAGTATGTCTTTTTTTTTTGCTTTTGTTATTTTGTTATTTTTGTATATTTAGTTTGATGAAGGTCGTAATGATCTTACATCATCAATTGATGAAAGTTCAATACGTCAATTTATTCAAGAAAATCAACTTCCAACTGTTGTTGATTTTAATGCTGAAGTAAGAAAATAAATAAATAAAATTTAATAATTTTTTTTTGTTCATCTTATTTAGACAGCACAAAAAATTTTCGGTGGTGAAATTAAAGTTCATGTACTTTTATTTGCTAGTAAAAAGGGTAGTGATTATGAAAAACTTCGTGAAGAATTTAAAACTGCTGCTCAACAATATCGTGGAAAAGTAAATACAAAAAAAAAAAATTTAATTTTTTTTTGTTATTTATTTATTTATTTAGACACTTTTTGTTTCAATTGATTCTGATGATGAAGAGAATGAACGTGTACTTGAATTTTTTGGTCTTAAAACAGCAAGTCTTCCAGCTGTTCGTTTAATTACATTAAAAGATGAAATGAGCAAATTTAAACCTGATTCATCAGATATAACATCAGATGTTTTAACTGATTTTGTTGAAGCTTTCTTTGATGGAAAACTTAAACAACATTTACTTACACAAGATATTCCTGATGATTGGGATAAAGCACCAGTTAAAATTTTAGTTGGTAAAAATTTTCATGAAGTTGCTCATGATAAAAAGAAAACTGTGCTTGTTACATTTATTGCTCCTTGGTAAGAATAATTAATTATATAGAGAACGCAAAAAAAAAGCGTCAAGTAAAATAATTTCTTATAGGTGTGGTCATTGCAAACAATTAACACCTATATATGAACAATTAGGTGAAAAATATAAGGATAGTGCCGATGTTGTTATTGCTAAAATGGATGCTACTGCTAATGAACTTGAAGATGTTAAAATTCAAAGTTTTCCAACAATAAAGTATAAATTTCTATTTTAATATATAAAAAAAAAAATTTATTGTATTAAATTAAATTATTTTCTAGATTATTTCCTAAAGATTCTGATGAAGTTATTGATTATCAAGGAGAACGTACAGTTGAATCACTTACAAAATTTGTTGATTCAAATGGAAAAGAAGCAGGCCACATTCCTGAAGAAGTATGTTTCACAAAAGAATTATTTAGATTTACAGAAAACAAAAACAATTTTGTTTTTTTGTTTTGCTTTTTTTAGACAGCAGAAGAAACAGAAGAAGGTGATGATAATGTAGAAGCAGCTCATGAAGATCTTTAAGATTTATCGTAGTCTACGTATAAAAATGTCAATCATATAATGTTACAAAAAAAGCCCCTTTTTTTTTTCTTCTTTTGTTTGTTGTTTGTCTATTGATTCTTTTTTTTTCTTTGCAATAGTTATCCATGGTAAGGCTTAAACTAAATCAAACGATAAAAAAAGAATCTATTGAAAATTTTTCGTTTATTAACCTTTTGTCTTTTTATGTTTTTGACTATTTATCATTATACAAGGAAAAAAAGAAATTAAAAATAGGAAAGTCCATAGTTATGTCAATCATGTTTTATCCATTATATATATGCTTTGATTATTATCTAGTTTATTCTCCGGTTGCTGTGTTCTTGTTAACATTTTCTTTATCTTTGTTTGTTTTATTTTCCGTCTTTTTTTTTTTTGTCTATCCTTTGAATCTGTTGCTATTACACGTGCTCGTTTGTTGATGCATGTGATAAAAGCACTAATTGGGAATATATTAACTCATTTTGAAAACGACATCAATCTAAGAAATTTTTAATATGAATTCATCTTATGACAAATGAATTGTTGATAAAAGAAAAAAAAAAGAAAAAGAAAAAGAATGGTTTCACCAAGAACGTTCACAAAATTATATTAACAAAACTAACGAAAGAACTGCCCAAACTGATAGCCGCCGTTGAAGTTCTTATTAGATTCACAAGGAAATCTTGATAAAGACTAGAAAATTCTTAAAAGGATTTGTGCCTATGCACCCGAATTATGCACGTTTTTATTGAATATTCGATCCAACTTTCGGTATTTAATGAAAAGTTACATAGCGAAGTTTCGATCTGAAATTTCATCTGCTAACAGGTCAAGTGATTAGTAGAATATCCTAAAAGTTTCAATCGAAAAGAATATTCTTATGTTGAGAGATTGAATTTGCAAGTAAACAACCATTTTTTTTGGAAATTCAATATTTTGACAAAGGAACATTCTTTTCGGCCGGAACTTTTAGAACATTCTACTAGTCATTCGACCTATGTATGGGCGAAATTTTAGATCGAAATACCATTATTTTATTTTTCGATAAATACCTAAAACTGGATAGAAAATTTAGTAAAACGATCATAACTCGGCTTGAGAAGCCTATGATCACGTACTCTTTTAGAATTTTTCTAATCTTATCGAGATCTCATTGTGATCACTCAAACGATAGATATCAGTTCGGGTAGTTCTCTCGTAAGAATAACTTTTGTTTAGTCGATGACTAGCACTTTTTGGGTTATCTCTCTTGAATTGTGCTCTGATTGATATTTCATATAAGATAATTCGCTTAAAACCATAGAATATTTTACTATACACTTGAGTTTCGACTCCGGTCTCAATATTTTCTCTTTCTCGTGATCCTGCATATCTCTAATCACAATGATTATAAAATGATTTGTTCATCTACATAATATATTAACTTCAAGTTTTTCTACTTATTTTATAGCAGCAAAAAAATTGGACGAGATCTATATATAGTAGTCATCAAAAGTCCTACTACCAGGTAAAAAGCACCTAAATCTAAATTCTTTCATCTGAGATTTTTAATGCAAACAGAGCTCGGTAGACTATGATCGCAAATATCAGCCCAAGGTCAATTGGACTAAATGCATCAGATTTAGAAAAAAAAAATACTATTTTCATCCTTGAACCTTATCAAAAGGTTTTTTTCATACTTTTATCGTTTGCAATTATTTTGAAGTGTTAGCATCAGTCCTTTTATTGACAATTAAAGTTTCTGTTATCTTTACTGCATCATAAGAGAATCTAATCTGTCGTGACCGTGAGAAACTGACGTTTTCATTATCTGGAACAGCTTTGGCATAGATTTTCGTTGCACTAAATGCTGTAGTTATGAAATTTTCAGAGAATACTCGATTAGAACAGACAACTCACTGAAGAAAATTTTAAATAAATTATTGAAGATAATCAGAATATCTAAAGCCCAATTCATAAATCAAGCAAACTACAATCATATGACATCAAACTGTTACCAATCATAAAGGCACACCAACCTCTCGAATGGAAGGTCAAAGGCTTTGACATGTTTTACTAATGCTGAAATATCCTTGTTTGAATAAAAAATCTATGTTGGCCTTATAGCTTCTTTGTTTATAGACCGATCAAGTCTTAATCGCACTGTATTAATCATCAAAACTGGAGACCAAACAATGCGCATTTATATATACTTTTTAGCCGGTATTGGAATTTCCAATGGATATTGTCGTTCGAAGAAAACAACTTTAAATTTATTCTGCATGCTTAGAATTTGAATGTTGTCACTCATGGTGCAGTACACTAACATACAATATGATTGCTTTGAGAACAATATTAGTCATATAGCGAAGAAGGACTTTTTTTTTTGTTCTATTATCTACTTCAAAAAATATTAATTCCAGAAGTCCGAAAGATACAATTAAATATGAAAAACTTCTTGATATACTTTAATCATTAGGCTAAGTGTAATTCGAAGGTTGAATTGATAGTTATCGTCACTTAAGAAAATCACCTTGAAAAAAATTATTCAATAATGATAATCATTAATAATATCATATTCTTTTATCTTTATTTTATCAATGAAAAATTCTGATTTTATTATTGATTGTAAGAATTTTTATCTTGATTTATCTTATCTAATACTTTTCTAATTATGAAATGAAATTCTTGTAGAGTGTAATTTTTATTTTATCTAGCTATTTTAGCTAGTAACAAAACAACAAACGATTTAACACCATCGTTCAGGAAATGTACGAATTTCTTTAATAATTCCTGTTCCTAATAATTTCCATTGATCGATTATTTTAACATAATCAATATTACTATGATTATGACTTGATGGTTTCCATAGTACACCAACTATAAGACCACCAAATTCATCATGAAAAAATTCTGCTTGATCATTATAAGATGTCTAGAAGAGAATAAATGAAATTTAAAAAAAAGAAATTGTTTTTTATCTTTTTTATTTTCATATGTTACTCGTAATTCATTAACAAATAATTGAGCAGGATCATAATCAACAATAGATAAACATTTTTTGTTGTCATTAATTGTTTGATCATTATCAATTAATTTCTTTCTTGTTGTATATGTTATTTCACTTATAACATGATCAACAGCTTGATAAGCACGTGGACATTGAAGTGGATTTAACATAATGATTACATCATATGAATTGAGACTTGGTCGAAAAAGAAACTAAATTAAATAAATTATTTTAACTATGATATTCAAAAAAGCAAATAATTGAATGATAAATGTAGTTAACAATCTAAGGTTTTTAGTTAGTACATGAGGATAATGAGATATAGATGATTCTCAAGAAATATTCTTATGATATTTTCGAATTTTAATCTGTGCAAATTATGAAATTGTGTACATTATCTTGTAAATTTCAAAATTAGTTACGTGCTTTATCGGTTTGATATCATGTGAAAAACAAAATCTATTTATGAAAGTATTTCTTCCTTCATTTTTTGTATATCAAAGAATTAATAGCAAGTAGACTGTAAATAGTTATATTGATTCAAGTTTCTTTTTGTCATAAAAAAATTTTATTCGAAGTAACTCAGATCAATGATACCAGCGCTCAGATCTGTGAATTTTCGCTGTAAAACTCGGGAAAATAATAGGAATTCAGAATCAGGAATCAGGTGATCGAATTTTTCTAGTTTCCATCGTGACCGAGCAGAATTGACCATCGAATCCGATCACCGGATTCATAATTCCAAGTTCTTATCATTTTTCGGCTGGAAACGACCCCTATTTATTAACCTGAGAAAGCAAGCTAATGTTCATGTCTTCGTATACTTTTATTATTATTTCTTTTTTTTCCCAAAAAAAGTCATTAATAGTGCAATTCTTCTCTTGAATTCTACATAGTATAGAATATGGGTTCACAACGAAGTGTACTGACCATTCATAGGAATAAGATTCTTTACGAGGATTAATGAGATAAACTTCAGTTCGATGCGATAGTTCCTATAATCCTTCATAAACATCGACAATTTTATCAGAATATCCTATCATTTTCTATGATAATCATTCAACTATGAAATAACTTAACATCTCGTAGACAACGAGAAATGCTTAAAAAATGAAGTGCATATACTCAAAAGATCTATCAATGATCGATTCTGAAACTATAAAGAAATTCTTATCTTTATATAGACTATTTACGACGTTTGCTCGATAAACTTAAGTATAGAATTGTAGATTGTTAATTACATTCTCAATTCAATTAAATTTATTATTATGTTCTTTTTTTTTTTATTGGTATTCATATTACTTTCATCGAATCACTATTATTTGTCTCCAGATAAGCTAATGCTTCTTTAGCTAATTGTATCACACGTTTTAATATTGGTACATTTGGTTTTTGATTATCATGAAAAGCTACTGAAGACATTAAACATAAAGCTGGTAAATTAGAACGTTCAATTTTAAATTGTGTTTGCATTTCAAAGATTTGTTCTTCTAAAAAAAAAAAAAAAAAAAACATTCAAATAAAATTTTCATCATCTTTTTTATTATCTTATTACTTGTTAATTCATGATTAAAATTTATAATTAATGGTTCATTAATCCAATCATAATCACGAAGAAGACGAAGAATACGACAAAAACCAGTTAACATTGATCTATATTATAAGAAATATATTTTCTATTAAAAAAAAAAAAAAACATAACTAAATACTTCGGTGGTACAAATGGAGCTGAATGAAGAAAAATATAACAACAAAGTAAATCTGCATTAATCGGATCGAAATGATAAAGAAGTAATTGTGATGAAAGCCAACGTTTAAATAAACGTGATACTAATTGATAATGAACAAATTGTTGACTAATACTAAACAAAAAAAAATCTTAAATCTTTTTTTTTTTTTTGAAATTTTTCTTACCCATAAATAGCTGCATTAATTTTTGGTAAATATTCTGTATTATATCGTAAATTTTTTGATAAATTTGTTTGTTTAATTATACGTTCTAATCCATCTTTTTTACCAGCTTGACTTTCAATTAAATATATTTCTTTATGATATGAAATAATTAAACGATAAATATAATAATTTTTTTCAATATAACAACAATCTGTTGTTGGATGACATATATAATGAAAATTTTCTTTTAATAATTTTGATAATTGAATATAATAAAGAATTTTTGAATGTTTTATACGTTCAACTGTTTCAAAACCTTCATCATTTGAACTAGTCATTTCAAGTTGACATAATATTAATAATGATTGACTATATGGTGGAGCATAACGTGATGTTAAACGAGGTATTAAAGCATATTCATCATGTTCAATTGATCGAATTTTATGTAAATCTGTTTGAAATAATGATGGTAATGGTGGAAAAACATTTGTATAACGAAATATTTCATCTATACCAATAATATTATTTATTTTAAGTGGTAATTCATTATTTAATGTTCGAATTTGTTTTGATAATTCAATTAATTCACGACAAAGATAAATTTGTTGTTCATCACCTGTTCCATAGGATGGAAAAAGACGAGTTGGAATTGAAAGTAATGTTGAAGGACATTGATCATTATAGAGAAATTCAATATTTGTTGGTGATATACCAGCTTGTCTAAAAAGAAAAAATTGAAATTTAATACAAAAAAAAACCTAAAAGATTATTACATTTCTAATAAATATCGAGTTGCATCCATCCATATAAGTCGTTTATCTTTTGCACAATCAACATTCCATACAACAGATTCAAGTATTGATCCATCAGGATAACGACGTAGTTCACATCGTTCACTCCATAATTTTCGAAATGCTTGAGCCTAATATGAGAAAAAAAAACAGACTGTTAAGTAGAGTCCATCGAGTTGGTTTCAGGTCCGAAAATTTTGGATCCGATGGGCTCTAGTACCCTGAGAAATGTGTTGGATGCATTAGTCATCAAAGACAAAAAACTGGTAAAAAGTATCTTGTATCTTCCGGGCGATTATCCCGTACCGATTGAAAAATCTCATTGAGAGTATCAAAGTACGGCTCGACTGAGTCTGGATTCGAAAATTTAGAACCTCTATTCAAATTACAGACTCATAGAGAATCGCACGTATTATCAAAATATATAATTAGATCCTCAAAAATCTGAGTTTTTAGATTAAAAAATTTGATTGAAACTATTTTTTCCAGACTTTTCGATGAAATTCAATGTTGATGTATAATATCGTTAAAGGGGAGTAATATGAGTGAAACCGGTGGTTTTTGGTCCCGGTTTTGGTTTCACCGAAACCTAAGCCATCTTATAGTGTCGTGTGGGAAAGATTTTTTCTATTTCGTTTCCTGTGAGAATCGAGAATAGGAATGATATTAAAAATAGACGTTCTCGAAAATCGGTTTTTTTTTTAATGTAACTACTCTTTATACTTTGTTCTTCCAGAAAAGTGAGTCGAAATCGATCCGATGGTACATTGCTGAGATATAAATTTCAACATTCTTTTAAAAACTTTTGTATCGCTTATTAATTAAAGAAAAAGAACAAACACCTATCCTCAAAAGATCATTCACTATGCATTAAATTATAATTCAACTATGACAATTATTATTTTCTTTGTTATTATCACCTTTGAAAATGTATCTTCAATGGTAATTTTATTTTTTAATTTTAGTCCATCTCACGTTGAGTAAAGTGCGATATTGACAGAATCTAATGTCTGATATAATAGTTTTTCTCAAACACGAAAAATGAAACTGTAACAGGAATATATCTATTTAGAATACAGGAGTCATGACGATAGGACATTCCATGCAAGTTTTATACGATCATAAAAAGTATCATTCCCAATGAAAAAGTGTTAGTCCTGGATAAAAAAATTGGCCTCGAAATCGAGATCATCTTGCCAGTATCTAGAAATGAGTAAAGTATTAAAAAGTTTTTCTTACTTCTTTCGATCCATTTTCAGGTCCTTTTAATACTGATAGATCATATTGATCAGAAAAGATAACACCTAATGTTATTGTTGTTCTTGTTGGTACAGATTCATTAATTGGCCACTACAAAGCAAAATAACTAATATATTAATCTGTTTTAAAAAAAAAAAAGCTTAATTTATCTCTTCTCCATAACCAAAATAAAAAAAAATTATACAAAGAAAACTAATTTAGTTTTTGATGTTCATGAATTGTCAAAAAATATGGTTTTTCACACAAAATTACTAATCGAGCATCTTTTAATAAACAAATATTTGTTGGTGATTTATTTCGTTGCATAATTGATGTTATTTTTCTATCTTTTGAATGTGTTAAATCAATAGTTTTTAAACATTTTTGTAAACTATTGATATAAATAAAATTTTCATTATATTTTGTTGATTCAATTCGTAAAGAATGTCCTTCAATTTCTTGTTTATTATCTAATAAAAATTCTAATTGAATATCCAATGTTTTTCGATTAATACTTCGTAAATAAATTTCATTATTTTGATTTTTATAAATAACAACTAAATTATTCTTATCACAAGTAATATCTAATAATATATCATTTGAATTAAATAATTCAATATTTTGTTTGATTATTAGTTTTAAATTATGTGTATCTAAATGATATTCAACAAGCTTATGATTTCCTAAGATACAGTAAATAGTATGATGGTAACAATGAATATAATTTAATGGTAAATTATCAGATAAACAACCTAAATCATTTACAGATAATAAATTTGTATTAAATATATATAAATGATTATTATCATTTGTTGAAATTAAATATTGATCATTTGTATCACAATAAGTTATATCAGATATATTTGAACTAAGCGTTGACGGCCATTGTAAATATAAACGATGACAATTATTTCTATTTTCTTCATATTGTAAAGTAATAAGAATATTTAATTTAGAATTATATAGAATGAATTCATTTCGTTTTGTTGAACTAGCTATACAATTATATTTTGTTTCACATTGAGTAAACATTAATATTGAATAATTAATTTGATTAAAATTTTTTAAATTAAATAATAATAATTTAGAATTTGTATCGAATTGATTATTTTGTTTTAATGAATTTTGATAATTATTTTCATCAGATATAAGAATTTTATAAGAATGAAATAATGTTTGTTTATCATCATTTGATGATTGTAATTGTTGTTGTTTAATTTGAGACAAAAGTAATGATTCAATTGTATATTCAGTTATTTTTTCTCGTGAATTATATAGTTCACGATTTTTTTCAATTAGAATTGGAATTGTAGATTCATGTTTTAAAGTTTTTGATTTGATATGTTGATCTTTTAAAGAGAAAGGAAATTCTATTGAAGATGTTCCTATTGGTTTTAATATCCATTCTTTATTTGATTTATTTTGATGAATAGTATTTTCAATTGATTGTCTTTTTAATGATAATTGTCTATTTTGAATAAATTGAGATTTATCTTTAAACATTTGTTTTAATGGTAAAATTGTTGTTTCAATTGTTAATTCTCGATAATGTGCATATTCTAATTTAATTATTTCATTAAATTGATTTATTTTAAATAAATTTGTATTTAAACGTATACGTTTTTCAATAGAATTTAATTGTGAATAAATATATAAATATTCAATTTGATCATTAATATCAAATGAAAAATTTTTTTTTTCAATTTGTTCATTTATAGTTGAATATTGTTTATTTATTTCTTTATAATATTCATTATAAAATTGTTTAATTTCATCTATTTTTTGTTTTAGTATATTATCAATTTGTTCAATTGTTTTTATTTTCCATTGTTGTAATTTTTCATTAAGATATTCAATATATTCTTGATTATGTTTATGAATTGTAGATGAATGAAATTGTTTTTGATATATATTTGATATTTCATGAAATTTTACTAATATATCGTTTTCCATTAGTAAAATATATATATATATATCAGTTTACTACACATATGTGTGTATGTGTATGCGTACGCATTTAAAACGAAAGAGAATAAAGATAAGAAACTTACTGATTTTATTATTTGACGAAATGAAGGTAGAGGACAAAGTAAATTGATGCGTTCTTTAAGAGCATTTTCAAGTAGATTGAGAATGTCTCGACATAATAAATAATGCTTATTATTAAGATTATCCATTAGTAATTGATTTTTATTTGATTTTTCATCAAGAAGTTTTTCATATTGATCAACAGAAGAAATTCTATAAGACAAAAAAATCAAAATAGATTTTTTTTGATGAAAAAAAATTTTTAAGAATGATATATATTTACTGAATAATAGCATCCATACTATAAATTGGTTCCATAGAAGTAATAAATAATGTTTGAAAATGATCAATAACTGGATCATTAAAAGAATTTAATGATATACGTGCTTCATGTTTTAACTAGAAAGACAATGTTATTAAGAGATGAATAGGATTGGACAAGGGATAGTCTGGTGGCAGATTGCCTGTTGTAAGAGGAACTGGATCACGGTGGACTTCGTTTTTTTGCTTCTCGATCGTCACTTCTAGCACTCTGAGGATGAAAACACTTTCTATCCGAATTTTAAGCCCGTCTCACCCTTAAAAAATATCGACAATCCTAAACGAAATTTAAAAAAAAAATCTTATATTAGAATCCGAATATGTGTTCCTATTCGTGTTTGATCAAGTAAAGAATGCTTTAAATGTATATAGAACAAAGTTAGATGCAAACATTTATTATTTCTGTTGAAATCTTCGCTCTATATAACGAGTTCGTGAAGAAAATCACTCATAAGAAAATTTTATATCATGAATGCGAAAGATCACGATTGATAAAGGAAGTCTCTCAACTGATTGATCGCTTTTCAGTCTTGACTATGAGTATCATGTATATCCTGCTGAGCTATGGGTATTCTGAAAAGGATTCGAACTCATTTTCGAATTTTGACTTGATACTTTCTCACAATAAACTACTCTTGTTAAGACCAATCTAGGTATGCACCAGTCCAGTCGGACTGGGTACCAGTCCGACTGGGTACCCAGTCATGACTGGTACCCAGTCGGACTGGTACCCAGTCATGACTGGTACCCAGTCTGATTGGTACCCAGTCATGACTGGGTACCCAGTCACGACTGGTAGCAGTCATGACTGGGCCATCAATCATTTTATCTTTAATTTATAACATGAATAATACCTCCCTCTTTCTTATCAGATTATCATAAACTCATCTTAACCTATTAAAGAGCTAATACGACTCATATCATGGAAATAATTGATTATTAATTCTATGATATAACTCGTATTAGTGCTCTAATAGGTTATGATGAGTTTATTATAATATTATAAGAAAGAGGGAGATATTATGCATGTTATAAATTAAAGATTAAATGATTGATGACCCAGTCATGACTGCTACCAGTCGTGACTGGGTACCCAGTCATGACTGGGTACCAGTCGGACTGGGTACCAGTCATGACTGGGTATCAGTCGGACTGGGTACCAGTCATGACTGGGTACCCAGTCATGACTGGTACCCAGTTCACCAGTCATGACTGGAACTGGTGCATACCTAGACCAATCTCTGTGCAACGTTTCAAGTCGAAAATGTGTTCGAATTCTTTTCAAGATATCCATAGCTCATTAGAGTCTTCATATAGTTTATATTTAAATGAATTCAGCTGATGAATACGAAAGTGTAATAATTTCGGACAATTATCGCACATTTTCAAATTGAATCATTTTCTACCCAAACGAACGTATTAATGTTTTTATTTTCATGAATTATTTTCAAATAAATGAAAAATCTTTTAAACTTACTCTTTTATAATTAGCTCGTGTTAATGTATGAAATACATTGAGTAAACCAGATTGATCAATAAGAACACAATCATCTTGAATAAATAAATTTTCAATGATTTTTTCATTTGTTAATGAACAACATTGAGATGATAAAAAATCATTTTCCGCTTTAATATAGAAAAACAAAATAAAATTTTCAATTTTTTAAAAATTGAAAAAAGAAAACTAATCTTACTTAATGCAACTAAAACAATACGAAATACTTGATAACTATTCATTTGTTTATTTATTTTCTTTGTATGTAATAAATAAGCTAATAAAAATGCTGACATAGCACCTTCAAATGAACCAAATCCCTAAATAAAAGAATATATTTATTATTTTTTTCTTATTAGAAATTAAACATTATTTGTTTGTTTTTTTTTTCTTCTTTTACATGTGATAATTGTCGTTGTTCTAACCAAATTTTAAATAATTTCAATCCATTACATAATTCATTTGATGATAAAAATAATTCATTTAAATAATCTGATGTTGATCGATAACGACAATCAAATAGAATAGATGAATTATAATTTGGTGTTGAATAATATGTTTCTATTTCATCTTCATTAGTATCATTAAACCATTTCCATCGAAGATTACTTGATGTTGGTAATAAACGTTTTTCATTAAAATAATCTTGTTCTGGTGCAAGTAAAATTCGTATTGCAAATGATGATTTTTCTGAAAAAAAAAATGATTAAAAGATTATATTAATTTTGTGAAATACGATCTAAAACGAGTGCTGAAGTATAGGAATAAAAATTTGAACGTTTCCCACAGATATTAAAGCTTGTCAGATCCAATAATTTTGAACCTGGACGAGATTCGTATTCATAATATTCTGAGTAAAATATTTTCTTACGTCTTGATGGTTACTCCGGCGATAGGAAATACTTTGTTTTTGCTTATTGAGACTCAACAACTAGCACGCCGTACACATTTCTCAGAGCATCTTGACAATGATTGTACTTTTAGAATAGCAACACTGGTTCGACCAGACGAGCTCAATGTGACACAGTTCCGAAAAATCTCGTTTGTTCCGTTCCGCGAGATGTCCAGGATCAGGACATTTTGAAAGTAAAATAGCGTGGGACTTCTTCCCGTGTCACAGATTCTGACAGGCTATATATCAATAACATTGAACTACTTTCTTATTATATTTCCGAAGGATTAAATAAAAGGAGGCTGAAGAAATATGTCCCAAAATAGATAGAATAAGATAATCTTCCTGTGATACGCAGCAGCAGGTGCATCGTGTTTCACGCTTTAGTCTTGCAGCGATTGTGCTAAGAGCTTTTTAAAAATCTTTGTTCTTTTTGATTTTTTCTTTAATTACCGTTTGGCTTAACGAGTAAAACAGCTTGATTAAGTGTTGTATCATTTAAATGTGTAAATTCTAATGAATATTTAAGTTTTTTTGCCATATAACAAAGATAAATAGCACGTTTTTCGATATATTCATTGTTAAGATAATCTTTTTTATGAATACAAATACGTGGAATTTCAATAAGTAAATCAATAATTGTTGATATTTTATTTGATGATTTAACTATTATACCATCATAAGTATATGAACCAATTATTTGAATAATAGTTGGTGGAATAAATTGAAATTTTTTTTTCATTTTCGAAAATGATAATGGAATTTTTATATCGAATTTTTCAAGCCATTCAGACATTTTTGATAGCTAAAAAGTATAAAGGATTGGTTACAGAAAGGAAGAAAAGAATATATATATATATATATATATATATGACTTACATGTCGAATTTTTCCTTGAGGAATTGATTTAAGTTCATTTGAAATTTCTTCAATAAATTGATCAATTTCACTACGTTGGCTTTCTTTTAATGTTACTTCATTTAATAATGCATTTACCTTAAATAGAAAACAAAATTTAATACAAACTTCATATCGACTAATTGAGTTGATATTTTTGAAAACCTGATTTTTATCTTTTCTAATATATTTCTGGCAGACTCATTTCAACTTACACGATCTAAAATGGAATTCTCAAAAATCAATCAGATAGGATAAATTAGGTATTCAATAATCGATCTCACAAATTTCAAAGGAGTTGTTCATCAAAGCTGCTCATTCAAAAATAACTGGTCAATAATAGAGATGTGTAGAGCAAGGCTTCTTTCGTATCCTGACCATTGATAATCGGTAGTTTAATTCAGCTTTTCCGAATCATTGAGCTCTGAGTTGTTGTACATCTAACTAAACGATAATGATTGATACAAAAATTGCATAAATCTTAACTTTTTCAACGGTTACAATTAAGATGATTTTTAAAAAGATAAACATCCATGTTAGATATCAATTGAAAGCTTGAATTAATTATTATTCAGAATTAAACATGCATTGAATCTGAACGTTTGGGTTCAGTCTTGACTGAAGTCTTAGAACTCCAAAACTTAATTGAACTTTAAAATGCACCCGTGGCCATTCATATATGTAAAGAAATACTCGAGCAATTACTAATATATTGGACACTATCCGAATTGACTTATTGAACTCAAACCGTTCGTTTCAAATACCAAAATAAAGTTCGAATTCAGTTGTTGTCTGTTCAGAATTCAGTATCAAAATTTTTTATAGACTACAACCCATTATTTCTATCTTTAAGAAATGAAATCATCTATTCCATGATTTCAATCCAAGAAGTTAGAACGAATTCTACATATGTCTAAGAGATAAAATTATTAATAATAACTAAATATTTCAAATATAAGTTAACTTAATTTTCTTAATAAATAAATACCTACTTTCATTTTTGTAACAGTAGAATGATAAGTTATTTCTGATTCGAAATATGTTATTTCTAAATCTTGTTCTTTATTGTTTATTGTTTTTTTCTTTTTCGTTTTCTTCTGTTCATATCCATTTGTTGACGAAATACCATTTGCTTTACGTTTAAATATTTCCATCTAAAATTTTTATTTTAGTTTAAAAATAATTTTTAGATTAGAAATTTAATTTTTAATCATATATAATACTATCATTCTTTCTTACATTATTATTATATACTACATTGATAAACAAAATTTAAAAAAAAAACCGACAATATTACATGATCACTATTTTTAATACATTTTATGTTTTTACAATACAACAATAATAGGGAAAAAAAATAATATACAATAATTGACAAAGAAACTACATGGATTAGTCGTTTTTTTCTTTCTTTTCTTAGAGAATACAGAAAAAAAAACTTAGAAAAATATTTACAACATAAATGCAGAACTAAAAAAAAGTCATTTGTCACATACGAATATTTTGTTTGATATTTTGAACAAGATTTGTATCATCTAAGAAAAACAAATAGAACATAATTGAAATTGAAATATGTTTTCCATATACATTCTTAACACACATAGGTTTTAAATTTTAGATTTTCAAGTAATTATTACTACAATTTTTATTTTTGTTTTAATCAATCTTAAAAATTAGATCTTGTACAATACACATATTTATGATAGATATAGCAGAGATGGAATGAACCGAAATTTTTCACGACCGGTATCGGTCGAACGCCAGTAAACCAGTCGATCTAAAATCTATATCAATACTGAACTGATTAGTTTTCGAACTGTTCTACTTGTAAATAGTGGTATTTGACCTAGTCAATTTTCAACAAAGTTTCATTATACATTCTCTGAGAGATACTAAGAGTAAAATAAAAATTAATAAGACACACCGATAACGACCGGTGAGTACTACTATTCTTTATTATATTGAACTGATATTTTGAATGCATGCATACGACAATAAACCTTGATTATAAGCACCAATCTACCCTCGATCGGTTCACAAATACAGAAGCTATAATTCACATGTTCTTTCCCATATGAAAAAAAATATAAATTAGAAATATGCACTCAAAAAGTTTTTGTTTGTCATTTTACCATTCTACAAGCTTCTAGTGTTAAATAGTAATTTCTTTTTTCAACATTACAAGTATTCAAAAACAAAATAAAACAGTATATGATATAATAACGCAATCAAATCAGTGTTTAATTAGATTATAAACTTCAATCCACAATATCATGTCTCATAGTCTTCGACAATTAACTAACTTCTCTTTAATGTTGCAATCTATAGATTCTCAAATTCGTAAAACGCTAAATCATTCTCATTTGTCAAAGCTTTATTTTCTTTTGAAATCAATTTTGATTCGAATTATTTTAATAAACAAGTACTTGAATTTAATATCTTACCATCTTGTTTTCTATCATTATTTATTTGTCTTTCAAGATGCATTTGATCAATAAATACAAGATATTTTTTATAAGCTTGTTTATGAGATTCTGACATAGCATGTGATTCGAAAAGACCACGTCGTTGACATACAATAATATCATTAGTAGATTTTAATAATGTTCCTATTGAACGTCGTTTTTTTTGACCACGTGAACCTAAACATTTACGCCAATTTTTAATACCTAATTAATAATCAAAAAAAATAAAAATAAAAAATAGAATTCAATTATAAAAGATTATATTTTAACAAACCATCACGTGAAAAAGCTCGATTTCGATTTGAATAAGAAAATAAACGACAATAAAAACAATATGCTCGACAAGTGGATAATGAATATTCAAGCCAATCTGAAAATCGTACATCATCAAACCATTTTTCACGAAAACATATTGTTCCTCTTCCATTATTTGTTGGTTTGGCACTTGGTAAAAATAGATCTTTATCATTACGTGGTTGATGTGGTCCATATTGTATTAATAACCAACGAATTTCATCAGTTAAATGTTCTGATAGTGCTGGATCACGATCAAATGTAATTAATGGTAATGATGATGATGATGATGATGATAATGAATTTGATAATAAACGACGACATGGATATTTTTGATTTTCTGGAGATGTTGAAATACTTGTGGAGATATTATCAGTAGATGTAATATAAGAATCAATCATTGATAGAATATCAGCATGATATTGATCAAAACTAGATAATATATGATTATTATCCATATTTTAAACAAAAATTAATGATCAAATCTTTGTCGTTATAGTCGATGATCAATATATGTGTGAATCATCCAATTAATGTCGAACTAGAAATTCACTAATGCACTTTGGATAAAATTCATTTTTGAAAAGTTGATATTAACAACATATAACGTGTATCATTGATATAGATTATTTATGATATTAAATTCTTCTGATAAACTAAAATTAGAAAGTTGGTTTTAGTGACATCTTACAAGAGTAAAATTTTGTGCACTCTCATTAAAATGTTACTGCAGTGTAGCGCCTTCGTTTGTATGAAATTCGCCTTCCCTAACAATAAAATATATGCGAAACATGAATATATCCTATGATTCAATACAATTCTATCGCAATTTCTTTTTTTTGACGTTTCTACCGAATCCAGATGTCGCTTCACCAAGTGTATTCGACACTGATTTGCATTTCTCATCGAACTTTTTATCACTAAGATCATCTACAATTGTGTGAAATGAGCCTAAATTGAGTCTATCAGTCCATACTATACCTATTTTTTTTCTACACCCATAGAGCACATAGTTATCAATAGCTGTCGTCAATTGTTATTCCACAGAAATTTTAAATTATATCATTTCTCGTATTTGTGGCTTATTCAAGTTTAAGAAAAAAATTATCTCATGTTATTGTCTAGTGATAAATATGTAGATTAGTTTTTGATGGGTAGAAATATATTTTTAGAAGAAATTTTTTCAAATGTTTCTTGGATTATCTATGTTTTGTTTAATTGTATGATACTTTTGAGTGATACAAAAAAAATTAAAGATCTTACAATTTGTTTTAAAACGACGATGTCCTTCTTCTAGCATCTTTTTCATGTTATATAAACAATAAGAATTGATAATGAAATATCATTTAAAAACCGATAAATATATGCGTATAATATCGAAAAGTAATACAAAACAGTATTCAAGCAACCACAATTTTTTTCGTTTTTCTCAACATGAATAACAAAAACAGAATGCCATTTTTTTTTCTTGCTGTTGACAGATTGCTCTTACTTTATTTTCTGTTTTCTACGACGATCAAAAATCTTGACTGTAACCTCGAATTTTGAGAAAAATCGTAAAACTAACTTGTCTTTCCAATTGTGCAAAACGGGATATTTTTTTCTTCATGTCTAGAGAACCCATACCAATGTGCTAATGCTAAACGACCATCCTTCTATGCGAAGCACAGAGAATAGTATATAAAGAAAACCGTTTTTCAAAAGCCTCCCCAGTAAGTCTTCAAATTTGTGACATAGTTTCCATAAAAAAACACTCAGACAATGGTTTTTTAAGATAGAGTACTGTTTAGAATGTTCATTGATGACAAGTAGAACATTTTATCTTTTCTTCCGATTGCGCAAATCAAGAGATGCGAACAACCACACAGAGATATCCGAATATTTTCGTGTTTTTGAGTAACTTTATGCTGTAAACAAGAGGAAGAAAGATGATAGGATAAGAAAGTGACAATATGGGCAAACCATACACATGTGTATGCTGCTGAAGAAAATGTGAAAGAAAGAGAAAAAACCAGTGCCCAATTAAATAAATCGAAAATGGTTGTACTTACGATGTAATGAAAGAGAGAAAATTGTTTGAGAGCTTTGTTACAAACGTTAGTTAACCAAAAAATCAAGGATTACTTCACAATGCCGGTTGTTTTTTTTTAAGTGTTTTTTAACCGAAGCTTTGCAATCAGAGATTCTCGGACAGATATGAATTTCATTAAAAGTCTTAGTAGTGGAAGTATTGAATACTATTTCATGCAAATTCAGAATCAGTCACATATGAATAATCTTAATATAAATTTATAATCATGATGTTGATGGTAATTACACAAAACTTATTTACATACGAGAAAAATAAAGTAATTATTTAAAGTAATTTTAATTTTTAAGATACACTTCTATGAACATTTTAAAGCATATTTTCACCATGAAGAAACATTTATATTATTTATTGATCAGGATCTACTATTTTAATACACTCATTTTACACAAGTTTCAGGCTAAAAAAAAGACTCACATCGATTTAAAGAGATTTTTCTGCAAGACAAGGATATTAAACTGCAGAGTAAATTATTGGCAGTATGTGCTCATCCTCTTCCAAACATCAAAAAAGATGTTTTCTAAATTCTTCTTTGAATTTTTGTAAAGACGAGAGCACATTACACCACAAATCGGATCACTGACTTTTTTCTTGATGGGCCGATAGATTTTAGCATGGCAAATATTTAAGTGGTATTTTTGGTGTGTCTATATCATATTTTTAAAAGCAAGTTCGATCTCCTTTGTATAGTATTTTACTGTCCTTATTACAATATCTGCTTTTTGAAACACGGTCACATATAATGTATATGTGTGTATATACCACTTATATGAATTCAAATCGCTTCAAACTTCAACAAATCTATCTCACTATCAACATATATCAATTTCATCAAGATTTAACAACAATATTTACACAGAACATTGATAATTTGAAAAATTATCAATCACTCATCACTCATATGAGCAACACTTTAATCTAGTATTTCAAGAATACATCGAGAAAAGCAATATAACTACTTGAGATTTTTTAATTATAATTACAGATATGTTTAGTCTTTAGAATGATATCAGATATATGACATTTGCATAATATTTGTAACATCTTTTCTATTTGAGTGAATATTACTAGTTGAATTAAATAAAATAGCTATATAGTTATGGTTATAATCATCCTGAAAATCATTGACACATCTTAGTTTTTATAGCCCAGCGAATATCTTAATCTTAATCTCTAAAAGGATTTGAAAGATTATAAAATGATATTAAAAATTTCATAATGAGCTATCATATCATCAAGTTGATAAATTATGATAGAAAAAGGTCAAAGTTTATCTTACAAAGACAAATTCTGAACATTGTAAATAATGTTGGCTTCTGGAAAGAAAAGAATTGAGTGTTAATTTTTTCACGCAGAGTATAGTATGTTAGTATTCTACTAGACAGAACGGAAAAAATTCGTCATATTTATCGATGTTTCAACGACTGATACTTGGCCGGCCACATATATATATATGTATAATATAGTTGTATATGTTTATATAGCTTTTGTTTTATTCGTCATATGTCTGGACAGATTTTCTTATGCACCCTGGACGCACAGAGAAAAGATAAAGCACAATTTATTTTCGATATATAAAGTGTAAGCGATGCCACAACAGGAACGTTTGAAGTATGTTACTTGCGATACAAAACTTATTTGAGATCAAAAAAAATTGATGACTAGTGAATTGTAAAAACTACGACTATCAGCATGATCATTATAACGCATTCATAAAGATGATTCTAGATAGATCGATTGTCGAATGAAATGTTTTAACTGGATTAAAGAAAATTCAAGGATATATCAATCATTTCGATGCATGATCGAAGTTAGTGTTAATAAAAGTGTAAATGACAGTCTTATTAACTCTTATATTCCACTAAATCTGTTGTTTTCGAGAAGAGCATGAAAGCGAATGCTAACTACAGCAGTACCAAATCAAAATCATGATTATTGCTTATACTGAAATCGAATATGTCGACAGTTTACATTCCCGTCGAACGTTATGCCAAGCCTTGTAGGTAATCAAAAAGTTTCTTGTTTAGTTTTTTTTAATATACAGTATTCGTTCAATGTAGTAATCATATTATTTGTGGACTACGTGACCGACCTTCTTAAGTATTGTCCAAGCATCAACTCATGCTGGTTTTTGTAAAACGTGGAACCGTCACTTCTGATAATATTCGGAGTCGTATAGATCATCAGTACAAACAACATATTAATTTTGATTCCTTGAGTTGAATTCATGCTAATCAAATAGATCAGTTACTCTACGACGATAATCGTTAATAAGGGATTTATAATGACTTATGTTTAATTCTTGAAAATCAAAACAATTTTCAATTTCAATGATTCATATTGATTAAATAAAAAATACTATTATAACGGCGTTGATTATTCAGAAAAAGAAGTCTGTATATTAATATACTATTTTCTTATCTTAAACTTTCACATATTTATTGTAGGCCTATTTCACAGCGTCATAGATAAATATCAGGCAATGCGAAACTCAAATGTCCGTTCAATCGTCGTGGTAATTGCTATTTTTTGTTCGCAGGTACATCTCGGATTAAGTAATCATGCCCAACCAACTATGCTTTATATTCAAGACAAATGAGTGGTGTCTCGAGATGTATCAGGTAAGTTGTTGATATACGAATCAAGAATTTCGTCCTAGCTCATCTCGGTTTTCATCATATTAACTGCTAGATTGTTCTTGAACACTATCAAATAGAAATTGCTAATTTGTTGTTAAATAGATGACAGCCAACAAACGGTGCAAGTAATGGACGGTACGTATTTGTATATACAAAAATCGGATGACAATTAGCTACCACATCGTATTTATCAATACATAAGCATCGACATCTTATTAAACCCATGGTCATTACAATCATCGTAAGAACCCATTGTTCATTTTAGAGAAATGAATCTTCAGCAGAAATTTGTTTTCTTTGTAGAATAGATATTTTGTAGGGTTTTTTGAATCTTTTCTTGCCGACAGTAAAAATGATGATGTCATTATTACTAAATACTGTTTTTTTTAATGATGAACATGATATTTTACATTGATAAATGATAATGACATCATATTTATTGATCGTGGCTTTGAAGACGCAACTCTTAATACGAAATTACTTTGTTTTCGAGTTTCTGTGCCCAATTTTTCCAATCAAAAAACAGTAGTGATACAAAAAAGGATCAGTCAATCACGTTTTTTAACTACAAGTCGTTGCATAATCGACACTGGTCAGCATCTAACTGATATCACAAAATTTATCTACAAAGAACATAAGGTAATGCATTATTTTCTGAAAATAGAAATTCATTTATCTTTATTTTCTAAACTATCAGGAGAATTTATACTTCTCATTTTTTACTGTATAC